TTCCTTCACCTGATGTATCTTTTAAATGCCATTTGTCTCATTGTCTTATTGTCTGTCAACATTAATGCAGAAAAACTACAGAAACCCATAAAAACATTCTTATAAACTTTGAGTCCTGTTGTTATACAACCACCTCAATCACAACATATTGATCCTTTTTAAGTCTAAATAAACTCCCTCTCACTTTTTGAGGTGACAAACACCTTTTACATGAACAGAAAAAAAGTAATACTTTGGAAAGGAAATTATGGTAATCTCCTCCTCTGAGGCTGAATGCCTCCTTGTCAATGTGCACAGTTTCATTTAGTGTCATTTAATTTCAATTTCTTGCAGTTTAACGTGTAATTTCGCTTTTTACACACCAGTGTTTCTGAGCTTTCATTTTCCTAATGGTTAACACAGCGAGGGGCTCAAACTGAACATTTTACTTGCTCTTTAAATGCTTTGCTCACTCTTTTATTTTTTTTCACAATTATATGTTATAAACAACAGCCAAACTCTGAACACAGCTGTTTCTCTTGAYAATTAAACATTAAGCAGGTCAGAAACTGAAAGTGAATTAAACAAAACATGTCTGATCACATTATGATAGGTTCATCTTGTTTTTTTTATTTATTTAATTATTTATGATTATTAAATAAATAAAAAACAGTAAATATTCATGTTTGTTTCTGATTAGCTGACAAAGTCAAACTGCAGGTTTTTAATTAACAACTCCTGTCATGTAGAGTGAACCTCGTCCAAATTAGACCAGCTAAGACTGCGTGTGTRTAACGTCTAACATGATCTACTAAAAAAAATTACATTCAAATGGCCAAATTATGCCAGTGCCATTGGATTATAGGGATTTGGTTGCAGTTTTGCAATGTCCCCACTAGCTGTCACAAACTCCTCCCCACACTGATTGCTGATAGCTTTGTGAGCTTGGAGACCTGTTCAACAATACAGTGTGAAAACTCTTCCTCAGCTTTAACATTTATTCCCTCACCAGCCCATTAGCTCCACATTAATGTCAAAGTCTGATGTATGAACGGCMGTCCAGGAATAAAACCAAAGATAATCGTGGTGTCAGTCTGGTTCATGGAGTCCATAAGATGTGCTAAATGTATCGGTCCTTTACGTGTTCGCATCAGTGATGCATGCCACAGTCGCTGTGGAAACCATTCAGACCAGCGTGAATGCTCTCCAAATTATGTGAAGGGTCTGCGTTCTATCTGAGAGTGCGACCGAGCGAAGGAGGGAGTAGGTGTGGGGGTGTGATGCTGCAGGTTGGCTGGCAGACTGACTCTACCTTACAGACGGAAGGTCCTCTTTAGATTTCTGCTACCATAAAAAAAAGTTAAACCCTTCAACTAAACACTTAAAGAACCAACTGCCTCATGATTCAGAAATAAAAAGCTTCATTGTCAATAGTTTTTGGAGCCTAAGAATTTACTTGAGGAGTTATTAAAAATAAACACAACAGTTGCAACATAGAAAAGTGATGAAATAAGATGCAACTGTCAAGCTTTGTAACATGAGACACAACAAATGTTCGGCTTATATCAGTGCCAGAAACGGCACAATTTGTTCTTTTTATCATCTAATAATCTAATCTCCATTATTTTTCCTGTCTAATGTGTGTCTTTGGGCCACACATCCTGTGTCTCCCTCCCAAAGCCTCTGTTTGCTGCATCTGGAAGAGTTTTTGTGAACTTAAATAAAAGACGTCCTGGTTACAGGAGGAATTACAGCGAGAGGACACAATGTTTTCTTTAAGATGTCATCTTGCGTGTGATTGTAACGGTKTATTAACATTTGTAGACGTACAAATGATTTCACATCTAAGCTATTCTGTTTGCTTAAAACAAGCTCAGTTCTGTTTTCACCCACTTGCTTTGTTTAAGCAGATCTGGAATCAGAGTGACTCAGCGACTTGGAGCAGAATTGTAAAAAAAAWWAAAATAAAACCTATGTTTATTCATTGCAACAGTTAAATTCATTCATGTTCCGCTAACTGTTTAAGAATCCAACTTTATTTGTAAAGCACTACCATGGTGAAACAACATGATGTTGCAGACAAACTCAAAAGATTCAGAATTAGGATAAAAACAATAGAAATCTGGTAAAAACAGTGAGATCTGAGAAAGTCACAGGTTTAGTTTAACTCTAAAATATTAAATGTGAAAAAAGTGGGTTTTAGGGAGATTTAAGAACAGACAGTGGAACACTAACATGTAGAGACCGCTTTAAAATCCTTCTTTTTCACATTTAAATCATTCATTTGGGGTCTATAGAAAGTGGAACTACTTCGTATTGTAACTCCACAAGCCCCTGTTTCACCCCTTTTCTGAGGTGTGCCTCAGGTCAACTCGTTTTGAGGCTGTCTCTTTAAATCCAAACAAGAAGCTTCACACCACAGCCCCCTCCAGCTTCCAGACCGGTTCATTCCAGTTTGATAGAGAAGGTTATGATTACATAGCAGCGCAGAAACCTTTTTTTTATTTACAAATTAATTAAAAGAAGTTGAACAGGTTGAAATTTTGACCCAAACAGGATACGCAACTATATTTGCAGCCCCAGGACAGACTAAATTCTAATTTTCTGCACTCCAAGAGACTCCAAGCACACAAAAAAATGTATTTAACAGCAAAAAAGTGGATTTTGCATGACATGACCCCTTTAAAGTTGAGATTTTACCTATATTCTGAGCCTTCTTCACCTCCCACATTATTTATTCTACAAACACTCTGATTTGTTGCTCAAACTCCAAAAAGGTCAGTCCTCTCAGGTGCATCCCTCTTGGTATTTACTTGCTTTTTTATCTCTGAGATCAATGGAACACCAGGGTTTGAAACAGAAATATGACTGCTTTGATAATCATAACGAGGTAAGAAATACACAACAAAAATCATAGGAAATAAGGCAGTGTGCAGTCGGTTTAAATTCACATTTAAATGTTTACTTTACAGTTTTTATGCAACAACATGCATCTATTATTACTGTACTAATGAATCCATGTCACACTGCTTTTAATATTCTCACCACGTATCGCTGTTTTAAAGTAATTAACTGACCTAGAAGGACTCAGCTGTTTGTTAGTAAAAATCCAGCTTACATAAGAGTGAATGATTAAAATCTACAAAGCTTTGTTTCAAACTGTTATTCAGCTCACGGCGGCAGCTTCTTTCTGCGAGCCGTGCTTTAAGATGGGTCTAGTTTGACCAACCAGGATGCAGCTGCAAACTAAATTAGATCCGTTTATTGTGTCAAAAGAAGGGATTTTCTGTTTAACTGAGCGGCAGCTGAACTGAAAACTCACTCTTTGCTGGCAGGTGTGTCAGCCACACTCACTGCACAGCACTGTGATCGGAGTAAGGCGACACGTCTGATTGGTCCAGTAAGGATGCAGAGGAACAAGAACTGTTGCCCATCGCTGAAAGTCAGAAAGTGTGAATGTGTGTGTCTGTTAGCCTAATAACTTATGAACCACATCATAGATTTTAAAGAAACTTTTATGGAGTCATCATCAGTTACAACTGGTTAACATTTGGAGTCAAACTAATTTAAGATGACCGCCTCAGCCAAATAAACCTGAAAAACATCAAATTGCGATAGCTCAGTTAGTTTTACATAAATTGATATAAAGTTYGGTGTGGTAGTAGCTGAGAGCCACTCAGAACATGTGTGTCTAAAACTCTGGCATGAAATGCAGCCGGTGATGTGCATTATGTTATTGTGATTCCTATTTCTGTTGTACTATTATGTAACGTTTGCTCTGGTGTTCACATTTCCATATTCTGGTGCAGTTATTACATCACTCACTGTACATGCACAGAGGTATTACCATCTTTATTAAAAATAATAATCCAATCAAGCCCGTTATCATTCACTTATGTTGTTTTTACTGTTGGTGTTGGTCTGTAATTCTGTATAGTTCGGAAGGTGCATTATTTTAATGAATAATAAAATCTTTTGAATGTGGTACTTAAGTTAACTTGTGTGGCTACAAAATAAAACATGTTATCAAACAGAACTTATTGGAGGCAAACCTGAAGTTGTTTTGTGCAACACATAAGAAAGAATAAGTTAACAGAGCAGTTTAGGGAAGTTTCATGAGTCGGCAACAACTCTGATCCCCAGGTGCAGCTTCTGAAAACCCAAACACTCAGGAAAACATAAACTTAACAATATATATCCTGCTTCATATGATCTCAGACATATGGATGTAAAAATGGGGCGAATACGTTGGCTATAAACACAAAAAGCTCATCTGAACAGAACAAAACTAATTTAAACCTGTTGCTTGAATTTAATTCAAATAAGGCCAACTTTAAACAATAAAAAACTGGAGTTGTTTAAATAAAATAGGATATATTTTTGGCACAAGTGTGGCTATAGCCAACTAAATCTCCTGACTTGAAGGAGAAACGTATTTTCTATTAAAAGTGAGGAAGTTTCAGCAGTTCATTCATTCAATAAACACTCAAAAAACAGATATAATGGATTTAGTTTAAAAAAGATGTCAACTGTTTCCACTCAACTGAACTGATTTAGGCCTAATTTACATTGACTTTAAGTAAAGTCAATGTAACGGAAATGTGTTAATTTTACTCAGTTCAGTGGAAACACGCACGCACACACACACACACACACACACACACACACACACACACACACACACAC